AGCCGGGGGAGAGCCGTGCACTGTGGCTCTGCGCAACCCCCACATGCCCACGTGGGGTCGCTCCACGCACCCCTTTGCGGGGTCAGCCCACAGGCGAACCTCACCTCCGGGGAGCCATGCGCGGGGAATAGCTTCCAGGGCCGTTGCTCACACAGGCCCTTGCACGCAGGCGTCGACCTTTCCACCCTGCAGCGTGGCAGTAGCTGTGGCAGCAGTGGCCGCCCAGAAAGGACGCGGAGGAGCAGAGACGATGTTTGTAGGTTTACCGTCGACAGCAGCAGAGGGTTCTCTCCAGGTTCTTGGGTTTGCTCTGGAAGTGGGGGCGGGGGTCGCTCCCCTGGGTCACATCCTCCTAGGAGGCCACTCGCCCCGCGTGTGCTCCCCTCCTTGATTTTCTGGGTGCGCACGCAGACAGATTGGCCCCTTTCCTCCCCGGGATGTGATGTTGAGGCCCGTTCGCAGAGATGACAGGGGCCACCTTTGCAGGAATTGGGCCATGTGGGCTCTGAGGGGCCCGGGACCTGCTGGGGAAACCAAGGCTCTGTTTGTCGTCCTCTCAAGGTGGGGGCTCGTGGGCGTGCACTTCCTGGTGAGGCCGGGCAGCAACCACCCACTGTCTGACCACCAGACGCAGCCAACCCGCCCCCTTACCCTCGCTCTGCACCCCCAGCTCCCCCATCTCCCAGGTCCACCCCTCCCACAGGGCAGGGCCTCAGGTGCTCATAAACATGCTGTCCCCGGGGAGGAGGACAGCCTTTGTGAGCGCGACCAGGCTGTTATGTAAGCTCGCTGAGGAATGCCGTGGGCGCCGACGCAGCGGGAGCCTGGCCGCAGTCCAGGGCCTTGATGGGCTCATAAACACTTTCCCATCCGGCGTGCCCCGTCTTGCTGTCTCTGCAGTGCAAACCCTGTGGCCACTTGCATTTTGTCCTCATGGTTGTGAGGCTCTGTGAGCTCGCGCCTGTGACCCAGCTTCTCCCCGGAGGGTGTGTGTGCAGACACACAGCACCATCGCCGATGGCCTTGTGCTCGGGGCCTTCTGAAAGCATCCTTCACTCCATGTGTGGACTCTGGTCCTCTGGTGGGTGGTTCTTCCAGACCCCTGCGGGCCCGTCCCTGTGCTCCCTCGGACTTCCTGCGCGCACACCCTCTCCCATCCTGTGCCAGCCCTCTCCCGCGCCCGGCCTGGGTCTCGGTGCATCCCAGGGTCCTAGCTCCGTGGTGGCACCTGCTGACCTCTCCTTGGGTTTGGATGTGATCCCAGTCTTTCGAAATCGTGGCACGTGTTGGCGCTCGCTGTGCAGGCGTCCGGACATCCGCGGGCGAGCTCTCCAGGTCTCCGTCCCCTTAGCGCGGGGTTGCAGCTTATGCTCCGCAGATACGCCTTCCTCGCGGCCTGTCCCGGTAGCCACAGGCCACCAGCAAGGGGGGTTGGGGGCATGAAGCTTCTTTTGCTGCTCCTGTTAGCAGCTGGGCGTTTGGATGATTTGGGGGAAGAGGGACAGCTGCCGGCTGACCTCTGACCTGGGCGCAGGTGCTCCTGGGGCTTCGACCCCTTGGTCCCAGGTGCCATTCTCTCGTCGCTGAGAGTCTGAAACAGAGACACCCCCACGTGGCGTGAGGGTCAGGCCGGGCTGTTTGCACGGGCGCTGGTGGGTCGGAGCTTGTCTGCGGGGCCGTTCCATCACGCTTGAGGACACCAGCTGTGCACGGCGTGCGCTGCGGGGACCGAGGCCCACCACTCAGTCCCCTCGGGGGCCCGGTCGGGTTTTTAGGCAACACTAAGAAGGCGAGGCCGAGCGGAGGGGTGCGGCTTGTTGCATCAAGACTGAACGAAGTGGGGTTGGCCACAGACCTTCTTCCCTCCAACGCCCCTTCTCCAGAGGCTTCCGGCCTCCGACAACACAGCACGTGGTTCTCCTGCGTGTTGACCCAGGGTGAAGGTTCCATCCTCGTCACAGAATCGCGGGGTCCCCTGCTCGAGCACCCGCTGTGCCCTCCGAGAAGTCCATGTCCCTGCTGAGTACCTTCCCCAGGCGCGAGCACTCCCGGCGAGCTGTGGCGTTCATGTCACGCCCGTGTGCCCCGCCGTGGCTTCAGGGGCAGCCTGGGGTGGACGGACGTCATTCCTTTCCTGCAGGGGCCAGGCTCCGGCCCTTGGGTTGTTAGAGACGCGCATGTTCCAAAACCTGAAGGCGGAGGGTTGCTGCGTTCTGGAGACTTGCAGACGCCAAGGAGACGAAGGGGACGTCCCGGACCTCGGTCCCTGTAATCTTTACGAAGTGATGTCGGTACTTGAGATCTTAAAGGTGGAACTTGGGGCGCTCTTGTCAAGTAGACGCTGACAGTTCTTTCTGCTAAGTGTGGAGAGCGCAGTTTTGGCCTCTGACTGCTGATGCTAACCAGACCTGCTGGCGTGAGCGGTGCAGGGTTCCTGGCTCTACACGGGGTATCAGGGACCCTGGGGGGCTCCCGGCGGGCGGGTCGATCCTGTCTCAGGGTCAGAGCTGCTGTATGGGCAGTGCTGCCCGGAACTCGTGCATGGATGCGCCTGTGGTCTGTGTCTTCTGAAGACACCTGGTGTCCGTTCCCAAGGTGGGCGGCTGGGTTGGGGGTCGGCAGGTGCCACCCCATCTGTGGGAGGAGGAACTCAGTGTGCAGCACGCAGAGGTGTGTGGGGAGCCTCGGTGTCAGCCAGCATGCTGGGGAGAATCCCACGGACACCCCGTGGGATAGCATGCGTCCCCGCCGGGCCCTGCTCTGTCGGTGAGCTCGGTCACTCCTCCATTCTGAGCCCTTGTCCTGGGGAATGTCTGCAGACACCGGATTCACACTCGGCCTGGGGAGGTGACTGTGTCCCAGGGCGGTCAGCCGCGGATGGCCTGGGGAGGGTGACCCCCATCTCTGACCCTTCGTTGCCCCCAAGTGCCATGAGCTCTGCCAACACCACTTCTGGGCACTTGGGGGGGCTGGGATTGGTGGCTCTGAGCCACACTGTGGGGGGCAGCTGTGATGAGTCACGATGAGCTGCAGAGGGAGCCCCTTGGGTCCCTGTGGAAGGTAGGGCCCGGCCTGGGGGTTGTGGGGGAGGAGGAGCTGCCCCTCAGGAACCAACTGGAGGGGGAGCCTATTCACTGGGGGCGGGAGGAAGGCCCTGAGACAGGGTTGTGCTGGGGGGTGGGGGCTGGTCTACCCAGCACTCGTGGTGCCCCTGGTTCCCCTGGGGTCCTGTGCACAGACCCCAGTGGCCACGCTTGGTGGGACAGCTCCTTCCTGCGGTGTGACAGTGGAGCTGGCCTGGGCTGCCTCCTGCAGGATGGAGCTCCTGGTACTGTGGCTTCAAGCTTTGCTTCCCCCCAGCATTTAGGAAGTTTGGAGAACCAGACCGGTGTAAGTCCGTATCCCCCCTTGTCCTCGTGTCACCCTCAAGACAGACTCAGGCCCGTCCTCCTGGAGAGATGGGGGCACCGGAGACCTCCTCCCACCTTGGAGGGGTCTCCTCTGGGGTCAGTGGGGTCAGCGCAGGCGAGGGCTTGTGGCGTGGGGAGGCACGCACAGCATGTTCTGGGAGGAAGCCCAGAGGTGGGCCTTGGGTTGGGCCCCGCCGGGAGGTCAGAGACCGCACGGAGCCGCAGGAGGAGATGGTACACTATTGGGAGCAAGCGCACCACACTTGCCGCGTGTCCCCAGAATTCTTGCCAGCCGTGTGCTGGGGCCCGAGGCCGGAGCCTGGGGCCCACGTCCCTCTCAGCCGCCCCGTGTTTGTCAGCGCTGAACACTCCCCAGACCGGCTGTTTACATTTTCTCGTGTATTTATCAGACCATTTCCTTGTAGATAGCACAGAGGTAAACAACCCCAGAGGGCACGTTTCCCAGGGGCTCCTGGGGCTTGAGTTTTCCTCTGTGGGAGTGTCTGTCTGGGTGGCCATACGGAGCCTTCCACTGGGGTGTTCTGCACCGCTGGGCTAGACCAGCGCGAGCGGCCGCTTCTCGTTGACCTTTCTGATGCACCAGACGTTTGAGGCCCATCTCTGGCCTAGAGGAGTCGTCGTTGTGAGCGTAGCTGCCTCTGAGAGCCCCCGCCCCGGCCTCCAGCCTCCCCTCCCTTCCGGGCATACATAGTAGAGGGACCCGCTGCCCATGCTCCCCTTGTCTTAGAACAGAATCCAGCCCGCTTCTGGCCTCGGGCCCCTGCGGACCCTGGAAAGGGGCCCCAGCCCTGCTGTGGCCAGGAGGGGGACAGGAGGCTGTTGGCAAGCATCCTCTCCTGTGAGCCCTCCCCACGGCCCCCACATCCGTTTCCCCCGGGCGGGGAAGGCCCCCACGTTAAGGTGGGAAATGACTCTCAGGGTCCCTGCCTGCCCACCCTTCCCCGATGGTGCCGAGTGCCCTGCTTCTATCCTGCACATCAGCCCATCACCCCCGAGGCCTGAGCCACCCCCAGGGACCCAGGGCACCCCCAGCCCCGGGGCTGCGGTACCACAGCCTGGGCTCACGTCTCCCCCAGGGTGCTTCTGGGGGCAGGTCTCAAGTGAGCATCCAGGACATGGGACGACCAGGCTCGGGGATTAAATGCCAGGGCCTCACCCATCCCCCGTCCCCTCCTTCTGTCTCTCCCCACCCCCGTGTCCCCCTCACACTTTATGTCTTCGCCCACACATAATCATTTGACATCCCACAGATTGTAACGACCGCCTGCTTCTTGTGTGAAGACAGAGAGGTTTTAAGTTGAAACACAGTTCAGACCAGGGGAACATCCTCTCCATGGGGAGTTCTTAGAGCCTGAAAACGGGGCCATAGGACTCCATCCGAAGCAGGTTCCCGTGTGCTGGTCTGACGACCCAGGCCATGCCCTTCCCTGGTGCAGGTCCTGCGGGAGCACCGAAGCAGGGAGAGTTTCGTGGCAGGGCTGGGGTCTCTGGGAGGGGGGCTGGCCTGCACCCATCCGTCCGCCCCTCCTGCTCAACAGCTGGCCTTTGGCCTGCCCCTCTCCACCCCAGGTCAAGTGCTACCACAAGAAGTACCGCTCAGCTACCCGCGATGTGATTTTCCGCCTGCAGTTTCACACGGGGGCTGTTCAGAGCTTCGGACTTGTGTTCGGGAAGGAGGATCTGGACAACGCGAGCCAAGGTGGGGCCACGGCTGATGGGGGTGCGGTGGGCGGTGGCCGCGGGTGCTTGGTCATTTCCGTCCCTGTTCAGCCCCACGCCCTGGACGGTGAACCTGCGTGCAGTGCGGTACCGGTCTTTCAGAACGCTGAGCCCTGGTCCACAGAACATTCTGGAAAATCGGTGGAACTTCGCCACCGCGGGGGCATGGGCGCCATCTGGGTGGGATTGGAAGCACAGCATTGTCCGTGCTTTTTGGCCACGGCATCTCTGAGCTCGTCGACATGTGATTTTTTTCCTCAGATGACCGTTTTCCCGATAATGGCAAGATTGAGTTGCTTTTCTCCGCCACTCCCGAGAAGCTTAAAGGTAGGCGGCATGCTGAGTGCCGGGGCGCGGTGCTCACCCGGTGGGGTGGAGGGTCCCGTGGGTTCTCTGTCCAGTCTCCCGCCTTTGTGCGTGTCGGGAAATTGCCGTAGGAGTTTTTTCAAAACAGGCTGCCTTTCATGGGGTGGGGTGGCTGGGAGACAGCAGGGCCTGGCTGTGTCAGCAGGACCCCAGGAACAGTGAGAGCTTAGCCTGAGGGAGGGCCCAGACCCTTGACCCTGGAGGTATGTCTGTCTGTCTGGGAGATCATGCTGAATGTTTACTTCTCCCCCGACGAAGAATCGAGTGTTGTTGGAGAGGATGGGAAGTACAGTGGATAGCAGATGTATATGTGCAAGGCAGGTTCTCCTTTCTTCTAAAAACGCCCTGAAGGAGCGATCTTGTCCTTTTACTGTCAGGGCGAATGGCTCTATGGTACAGCGAGATCCATATAGGGGAACATTTTGCTTTCATTGCTGGGGACAGTAGTTTCTTCCTAGTGAGGTCAGTGTCCTAATTCAGTGAGTGGTCAAGGGCAAGGCTCGTGAGGTCAGAGCCCCACTGGCCTCCCCAGAGTGTCGGCAGGTGGGCACGTGCGTCTGCGAGCCCGGAGTGGCCAGAGCACCCGCGTCCCCTCTGCTCCCTGCCCACCTGGCTCTGGTCTCGACCAGGATGTTGAGAGCAGTGCACAACGCTGTGAAGGCCACCGGGCCCGTGGGGGCAGGTGTGGGGGTCTCGGCGCTGGCTGCCGGCGCTCACGCCTCGGATGCTTGTGCCTTGTCATCTGGGGGGACCAGTGTGCCACCGCGTGCCTGGCCTGTGACCGACACCTCCTCCCACGCAGGGTGTGAACACTTGCGCAATGACCATGGAGTGATTGTGGACTTCAACACCGCAGACCCTCTGATCCGCTGGGACTCCTACGAGAGCCTGAGCGCGGGGGGAGAAGGTATGTCTGGCTGCCGCCGCCCTGGGCCAGGGAGGGACAGGGAGGGATGGAGACGGTGGCCTGCTTACCGTCCGCTCGGGGTCTGCAAGCTTTCCAGAAACCCTGACTCCCTTCGGGGTCCAGAGCTCCCCTCCCCAGTGCTGTGGTTTGGGGGAGCCTGTGAAAAGCAGACTTGGGGATTTTGGGTGGCACAGTGGGTGTGGCCTCGCTGGGCCATGGCCGGGCTGCTGTCTTGCACCCGGGAGCTCCCTCGGCGGGAATGTATGGGCTCGTGGAACCACCTCACCTGCCCCATTCACCGTCGGGATGGACACCTCAGGCCCTGGGTGCTGTCATGAGGGGGGAGAGGCTCTGCCGGGCTCCCCCACAGAAGCGACCTCACACAGGTCCAAGGAAGGATGGGGGCCTTCTCCCCGGCCAGCAGGAATAGTCCCCACCCCCCCTCCATGGTGGAGCCTGATTTGGGAGAGAAAAACACCAGGCTCTTTGTCAAACTGGTTTCCTCTTGATGTACACTAGCCAGAAGCAGGTGTTGTGGAGAGACCTCCCCCCGACCCTGACGTCGTGGGCCACTGGCCTGCAGGGTCTCCGGGGAGGGACATCTGGTGTGCATGTGGCCGAGCAGTTCCTGTCTTCATGGGGGGCAGTCATGCTTCTCCTCCTGGGTCCAGGGTCCTGGTAGGCGGCATGGGGGTGGCTGCTGTCTGTGTAGCATGTGGCGTGTGCCCTGTCCCGAGCAGAGAGCCGTGGGGGACACACTGTGGACATCACGTACTCCGTCATGTTTCTTCCTTACAAGAGCCAGTAACCGTGACACACACGGAGCGGTTCCCGAGAGACCGGCCGGGGGCCCGTCAGTGTCACAGGTGCAGCTGGCCCGGGGTCATGGGTCAGAGATCACGCAGGGCAACCTGGGGGAGATAGGACTCCCGTCCCAGCCCGCTGACCCCAAAGCTCCTCTGGGCAAGTTTCGTTCGGCCGCGATCTCCCCTGCCCTCGCTGGTGCGCGGGCCACGGGAGGCCTCAGAGAACAGAGTCTCGGTCGGGCAGTGTGAGCTGAGAGGGGTTCGTTAGGGCCAATGTCCGTGTCTCCTGCGCTGGGCTGGCCGGGCTGGGGCGCTGCTCCCTGGGACTGGCCAGGCAGCCCCAGGCATGCAGGGGACAGGGACCATCAGGGAGAGCTGGCCCAGCACTGCCTTCTGTCGCTGCTGTGCTCCTCTCCACCCACTGTCCATTCTGTTCCTTACTAACCTGTGCCTTGCTGGACTGGGCGTGCGAGCGCGCCTCCTGCAGACCCAGCCTGCCCCAAGGTGCTGGGACTCAGGGATTGGCTTCTCTGCAGGGGCAGTGGGTGGTGGCCCGCGGCGTCCTGTTGGGAGGGCCACTGCGAGCAGTGGGGGGCATTGCCGGCCTTGTGAGGCCGCCATCCCCCCACTCTCCCTGACACTGACTTAGCGAACACTGGCCTTTGCTCCCGGACAGTTGGGGTCTTGTGAACCTCGTGTCGCCACATTTTCGTAAGCCCATGAGTGCGTAACTACATCACGCCTGCAGCTCCGTCCGGACGCACCGGACCTAATCTGTCCTGTGGACCCCGTGAGCTGCCTCGGCTGGCAGCACGGAACTCAGGCGGGAGCCAAGTGTCCCTGATGCACAGATGTTCCCTGTAAAGCATGTTGTGACCTTCTCCTGCTTAGGACACCAGATAGCCCTTGAGGACTGCTTTTGGGGGTCATTTTAAACAGCAAAAATACAACAAAAATGATGGAAATGCGAAAACTGACGTGCAGTAGGACTGGAGGGGGCTCGTTTATGGTGTGGGAGCTGGGAACACGCGTGTGGGACGGCTCTGAATCAGGCCCCTCTGTGTGCCTCAGTGAGTGATGGTGAGAATGCCACGAGCTGATCTGGGGTTCGACATAATGGTGCTTGGTGAGTGGGTGGATTTGCAGACGTGGAGTCAACATACGGCCATTGACTCTACTTGCTGTCTTTGTTATTTATTTATTTTTTTTGAAAGGTTTTGTTTATTTATTTGACAGATCACAGGCAGGCAGAGAGAGAGAGAGAGGGAAGCAGGCTCTCCACTGAGCAGAGAACCTGATGCAGGGCTCCATCCAGGACCCTGGGATCATGACCTGAGTCGGAGGCAGAGGCTTTAACCCACTGAGCCACCCAGGCGCCCCTGCTGTCTTTGTTTTTTTTGAAATCCTCCTTCCTTCCGTGTCTCCTGTGTGGCTGTGCCCTTTGGGTCTGGTGACCGGGACCGTCCCATCCAGGGGTAGCGTGGGTCACTCCGGTGTGCCTCCTGCCTCTCCACATTAGCTATGTGGCCTTGAACCAGTCACTTGATCTCTCTGAGCCCTTCCCTGCTCTGCACAGGGAGTCGTCGTCAAGGCAGGGGTGCTGAGTGGACGTGGGCCATGGACCCCCGACAGTGCTGCAGGTCACAGGGCCCTGTAACAATGTTGGAGCCCGGGGCTTGGGGACGACCTGGCCCGGCGTGGGGTCGGTGAGGGTTGGGGACCCCCAAGGAGGCTGTGGGAGGGCACGTGGATCTCATCTCTCCCTGCACCGTCGGACAGCCACTGCGGCGGGTGAAACTGGGACGCACCAGGGCCTGGGGTGATGGGCTGTGGTGCCCTAGACCCTGGTGACTTTTCCGTCACCGTCATCCCAATGTCGTTCAGCGATAAGTGAGTGCACCGTCCCCAAATGTCACCGAGCGTCACATGGAGAGGACTCCCTGGGAGGACTCCCTGAGTGTGGAGCATCACCCGCCCCCGCGGACCAGTGATGACAGATATCAGTGCTGACAGCCGGGGGGACCTCTGTGCGGGGTCAGGAGGCATCTGGCTGCGGGGTGTGCAGAGCTGGCCAGGGAGCCGCGTGGCTTGTGTTCCCGATCCAGCGACGACAGTCAGTGCTGCCGTTTCAGAAGTGGATTTGAAAGCTTTCCTGCTTGGAAATCGTGGTTCGGTTTTACTGTGTGGAAACCAACGCGAAGTGGACCCTCAGCCACTTCACTGAAGGAGGGTCTGCTGCATCCGGCAGACGAGGTGGCAGGCAGCTCGGCCCGAGCGAGGTGGGCAGGGCCCCTCATCGGCATGATGGACGCCGCCCGCCGAGCTCCCAGGGCTGGGTGCCTCGTCGCTGTGTACCAGCCAGGAACGTCCCTTCGCCGCACACCCCCGGAGCTCAGGTGCGTGCTGGGGTCCTGCGACAGCGTCTGCCCCAGGGCATCCTGCTTGGACCTGGGGAAGCACCTGCCCTTCACGCTCCTGATTCCAGGCTCCGGCCCCCAGCCGACCTTTCAGGGCTGATCTCGAGACCCCAAGAGTTCATCTGCCCCAGAAAGCAGGCAGCAGACGGGAAGGAGGACAGTGTGCTGACACGCTTGTCTTACCTGAAGAACAAGAGGCTCATCTCTGTGCTCAGAACTGAGGGAAGGTCCTGTGGGGGTTCGCTCGACACCGGGCTGGATCCCGTCGCCAGAATGCACGCCGTGTCGGAGGCAGTGGAGTGAGTGGCAGCCGGGCATGCGCGGTCTCGGCCCTCGGAGCCCACGGTTTTGCTAGCCCTGGTGGCATCTGAGAAAGGGCGGCAGGATCCACGTCTGGCTACGTTTGCTGGCGGCAGCTCACGTGAATGCCCCTGGGACGGCTGAGCTCCTGGGGCGCCTTCGCCCTACACACGGGACAGAGGCTCAGCCGGGTCTCGCCGGGGTTCTCAGTCCCCCGGCCCCCGCCTCACAGCCTTGGACCCGGGTGCGCTCAGAGTCGGGCATGCGCCACCGTACCGTCCTCCGCATCCCGCGCCGTCTGTGACTGAGGGGGCATCGCGCCTGCACACCGATGCTGCACCTGCTGACATGGCCTGGCACTTCCTGCCCGGCCCCGCATCCTTCCTGGGAGCGTGGTGTTTGGACGCTGTCACGGGCGCCCTGCCTTGGGGACCAGCAGCTGAGCTGTGATGGCTGGGGGGCTTATGACGAACGCATATTCGCGAGGTTAGGGGGCTCTGATCTCTCAAAGGATGGCTGGGGCATCTGCTACGGGGACGGGCAAGCCACCTTTGGGATGTCAAAGGCCCAGACTCTCGGGTGGGATTCTGGCCCATGAAGGCAGGTGTGAGTGCTCCTGGGTTTCTGTGTGGGAATTAACGTCAAGGTGGTAAGTGAAGGCAAAGTCGTTCAGCTTTCAGAAGCCAAACCCCAAAACCTGGTGATTAAAGGATCACACCAGCCTGGAAAAAACCTGGAAGGTGGGAGCGGCCCTGCCCACCATCTCCTAGACGGCGCATCCTGTGACTTCTGTGGGCGTGCGATGCACGGGTGCCTACGCAAGGCACGGTGACGGCTTTGTCTCCTGTCCCCTTTCTGGACACTCCTGCAGACAAGCTGTTACCAGTCACGTCTCATGCATCCCCGCGTACCTTCTCTTCTGTGTGCCTCCGCTGGGCAAAGGTGGCGCGCACATCAGGCCCGGAGGCGGCTTCTGTGTCTTCCGTGGGGAGACCTGGTCTCTCGCCTGCCAGGTACAGGAAGGGCTCCCGTTTCCCAGCGGCCTCCACCCAGGGCCTGTGGGGACGTGTGGGCTGCGTCGGGGACATTTCAGCGAGGCTACCTGCACGGGCAGAGCGGGTCAGGTCTCGCTCCGTGTTTGGTGAGCAGAGCAACAACCTGAGCGGGACGGGGCTGGGATACATGCGTGTCCCCCCGGATGTGGCCAGGTAACCCAGCTCCAGCCATGCGAGATTCCTCTTGGCCGCGGCCTTGACAGGGGAGAGGGAGGGTGTCCCTGGGCACAGGCCGCCTGTCCGGCAGCTCTGGGCTCTCCAGCAGGCGTGTCCCCGGCCGTTACCCTTGCCCGGACCCTCTCTGCCCGCCGTCCCTCCCCTGCCTTCTGGATCTGTCGTGTTGGGGATTCTGCATGGAGCCCTGCCTGGAGACCAGATTCTGCCGTTGACAGCTGGAAGCCACGGCCCTCAGGGTTGTTTTG